CGCAAGCTTTTGTTGAAGAAAATATATTTAGAGGGTGTGCCGAACAAAATGATGAGGGAGACAGGGGACAAAGACCCCAAGTCAGCAATGGGCATCGGCCAGATACTACTCGTAGTCTGATCAGGGTCTCGCATCTCTAATGCAAGTGAAGTACGGTACTAGCTCTGGGGTCACTTTGCTTTCCACATTGCATGTTTTCCTGAGAGAGCTACCACATTTGCACACTGGGAGCACCACCTCCAGGGAGATTGGTCACTTCTGCAGTTCTTCATCTGTACCAGCAATGAACTAGGAATTTCAGATTGAAATCCAAGTTTAAGAGTTTGGACAAGTCTGCAGTATTGGGTGAAAACTGCGGACTGTTTAGCATTTTGTTCTTTAAACAAGGCTGCCATTTCACCTGCTGGAATTCATTATACTTTCCAGACATTGAAAGACTAATTTTTTCACCAACCCCTCTTCTTTTAACCCAGCAGGGGTTAATACTATATAAACCATTGTTGCAATTGTTTGAGAATGGAACCTTTCTCAGTCACTTCAATAATCCTGCCCACTTACCTGAGCACATTGAACTTCACTGGAAGTTTTGCCTGAGTAAGAAGTGCTGGATTGGATCCATGGATTTTGCCCTTGAATTCGTTGCAGCTCTTGCAGAATTCCCTAAGTACGATGTGAAAAAACCATTGTACTGAATTAAATATAAAAAAGGGACTGGAGAATGCTAGTCACATTACCTGGCTGGATATTTCTTATATAATTACAAAGTGTGCTTGCTAGCATTCTGTTTCCTGCTGCCTGCTACGCTTAAAAAGCTAAATATTAGATTTTGTGCGTGTGTGTGTGCGTGTGTGTTGCCTTCCATGGTTTACAAACAAGAGAAACTTTAAGATGAGTTATGAACAATATAATTTTATGTATATACAATATTTAAATATTGTACAGACTCTTTCTTTCTACAGTGCTATTTTCTTGTATAAAAATGCTCTTTGCCTCTGTTGATTTCATTCAGCTGTTAATTTTAAATAACATAGTTTCTCAATCAGCTTCCGTAATTATAGGCTTTTAAAGATGGCAAGATATGAAATGTAAAAGGCTGATCTTATAATAATGGGAAAGAAATGCTGGTGTGTCAGAATACAGCATTCGTTCTGCAATGCGAGTCATACCAGTTGAGCGTACGGTACAGACCCGCTAGTCTGTTCCTGGGATTTTTGTTTCCTTTTTTCATAATTTCATTTTGAACAGTTCATCATAATAATGGGTGAATTCTCCTGTAAAATATGTGAACATAGAGCACTTTTGCTCTGGGCATTTGGAGGTTTTGATGGATCCTTACCCGGCCTTCCCCTCCATAAGTAGGTAACACTCATGTCCAAGTGAGTTCATGCTAGCTGAGGAATTGACCCCAAGACTTTCGAATAGTGCCAAAATACAACTTTACAAAAAGAAAAGCAGGTTTTACTTGCTTGGCATCCTGCATTAATCTACGTGGGTCTTATTCTCCATGGACTTGTACCCCAAGCAGCTTCTCTGAGGTTAAAGATTTTATGTGGCCTTTCAGTGCTGAATTTAGCCTCATGGCTTCTTCTGCTACATGCATGTGACACCTACTCAGTGGAGTGCCACAGGGTTGAAATTTGGCCCAGTATTTAAGTGTAATGTTTTTTCAGCCTGCCTGCAATGAATAAAGGTAGCTTGTGTATCATCAGAAGTGTAGCACTAGACTGCAAGTGATTCTTAGCAATTTTTATACTCACCTCTTAAAAGTCAGACTTGTGCTCAGCTTTTTGTTGCTTAATGGACTCCAGTGTAGTTGCTATAAAATGAGATTTTGTAGTTTTTCATCCACTATCCTCTTTCAATCTGAAAGGAGCACTGTTAAACTTATTTTTGCAGCTGTGGGGACTGCAGAGGAAACTCCCACCCACTCCTTATATTTTCCCTCTTCCCCCGCCAAAACAAAAAGATAGAAAATCTATTTTATCTTTTTGACGGGAACTCTTAGAAGACTGTTACACACTGTGCCGTAGTTTATAGGCCTTTGAAACAACATAAAACTAAGTGGCACGTAGATGTCTACTTGGACACCACAAGTTGAACCATTTGTTAGGATGGTAAAATTAGTATTAAATTTAATGGGAAGCAGATGTTTCTAGAATAGATATTCAGGTGTATTCTGTAGGATATTCCCTCAGACGTGTTTATCAATAGGAATTTCAGATGATATTGTACAGGGACAAACCCTGCAGCAGTCCTTAGGTAAAACTTCTTCAACTTCAAGGAAGCTTTGCCTGAGTAAGAATTTGCAGGTTTGGTCCAAAGTAGCATAGTTCTAGTTAGCAGCTAGTGGGGGTTGAAGCTGGTAAATGTGCAATGATGGCTAGGACAGCAAACACTGGTATTCTCATACCAATTTTTATATACAGGAGATTTAATGCATTATTATGAGAGAGCCTAGTTACATAATGCAGAGATTTAATAGCTGAGATATGCTGCATATTTATACTACCAAGTGGCTTGAGCGGATGAATAGTATAAAAGTTGTTGGGCATAATGTCACAATACTCACCTGCTTGGAATATTCCTAAACTATATTATAAAACCATTGTGGTCTTGTTCACCTCTGTGCAAGAGAAACTCAAATTTCACTGGCCCTTGGAGCAGTTCACAACTTGTCAGGATTGTATCTGAATACTCTTGTGTCTTCAAAGATGTCAAATAAAATACAATACAGCTCTGGATTACGTGTTACAGTGTTTTATTATTACAGTTCATGGGGGCTTTTTACATGGACTTAGTCCTAAAAATGCTCAGGCTGCCTTTTTTTATAATGTGCTTTTTAACATACCATACACACACACACACACACACACACACACACACACACACATATATATATATATATATAGGAATGCACTACTTCTGCTCTTGATTATTTCTTAATATGTGTATTAGAGCAATGGCAGCCAAGCTACATATGCTGTAGATTATTAGGAGGCCTGCATGGATTGCTTCACTCCTAAGTATATTGCTGAGGCTAAAATTGCTTTCAGATACTGTCGTTGCCAAAAAATTGGATTATGTTATTTTATATACAGCAAAGATACTGTGAACAGTGTGAGAGATCTGGGAAATCATTGGCAGTGCAATTGAAGGAGCAACAGGTAAACATCGTAGGGCATTAATTAAAAATCCTCAAGATACTAATTTGAGGTTGCCTCAAACCTCAGAATCCATATCAGGATTATAAAGAGCTCCACATTCAGTGGCTCCGTGTATGTATTTATAATTGTACCCAAGTTCAGGGGCCAGAGGGTTTGTTTCGACTGTCGTTATGTCCTTTTACAAATCTGTTTCAGTCTCTGATCTTAAATTCAGGCATCCTGAATTTTAAGTCTATTATTTAGCTGAGTCTTATGACCCAACAATGTATTCAGAATATTATATTTCTGTGCACTGAACTGAGCTGCTTGCTGCCCCTGCAAAACAAATTGGGAATGTTAATGTTTACACGAGTTGCCAAAAAGGAGTAAAAACATCCATAACCGAAGCAGAGAGCCAGGCTGAGATTGTGTTTCAGATCTAAGCTGCACCTGGATGCAATGAAGAAGGGAAGCTGCAGGTAATGCTGCAGCTTTCTTACTAAATGCCAGTCCTAGTGTGATCTCAATCCCGGGCACCTCTTATCTCTCAGCTTGCCCCATCATACCCATGCCTCCTAATCTTGAAGAGTGGGATGCAGCTTGCTTTTAGTACACCACGGAAAGTGAAGTGCAGATAGTAAGCCCTGTCTACAGAAGATAATTAGATGGCCCCCAATCTTCAACTCTAGTGAGGCACCACACCGGTCAGTAAAACAGATTAATATTAAATTGACCTGAAATAAGACATTTAGATTTTGTTCAACAAAATGAAGCGTCTCAATATGAGTCAACCTAATGGAAAATTTAAACATTTTGACATGGAAAGCATGTCTTTTGTGCAACCTTCATTTTCTATTTGGGGAGGGGGGGAACATTTGGGTGAACACTTCGTGATGAATGGCAATAAGGATTTATTTGGCTTGATTTTTACCTGAATGCAAGGAGTTTGACAATTGTCCTATTTTTTTGTTTTATCCATTTTTTACCATTTCAGAACTAAACTGATTTAACTGGAAAACGCAAAAATGTTGTAAAATGTGGAGCCAAAAACATTTTTTGGCAATTATTACACGATTCTGTCCCACCCCCCAACAGTGACAGAGGCCGGGTGGGGCCTGACATGGATTAGATAATGGAAATCTTGGCGGTACCTACACCTGGCCCTTCCATGGGATTACCTGGATTCAAACCGAAATGTAAATTTACATTCAAACTTCTGCCGAAGAAGCTGTCAAAGAATTTGGGCAAAATGTTGCCACAGGGAACCCTTACCTTGTGAACGTCTCGTTAAAGGATGAAAATGAACAAATGTGTTTCACTCCCAGTGCTGCAGGCGGCACCTCCCATCAGTAAAGCTAGGCATCTTCCAGCTCTTGACGCCGCAGGCTGCATTTCCGCTCTCATTAGCACCATGGCTGATCCTGTACTTGTGCTGGGGGCCGTTCAATGAAACAGCAGCGACTGCAGGACGTGTGTGCCTAGTAAAGCAGCAGCTGCCAGCTCAGTGTTAAAGATACCCCATCTGTTGGCAAAACCCCCCAGGCTACCCTATGCCGTTCCTGCCTTGAAATAACATTGGGGAACACCTAGGTCTTTCCCAAGCTGGTGGTTCAGTCATCAAGGCAGCCAACAGTGACCATCCTGCAGCTGGGGGAGACGCACAGCCCCAGCCGCGGGTCACAATGGGGCTGAGGTCACAATGCCCGGGCCCCGCCGGGCAGTAATGCTGAACAGGGACTGACCTGCAGCAGCTTTGCTCCGCAGGGCACCCTGCCCCGCCGGAGCCCCCGTGTCCCCTCCGGTGCCTGCAGCCCCCAGCACAGCTCCTCCGCGCTGCTTTTCACCCCTGCCTCCTGCCTGCTCTGGTGGTTCTCCATTCTTGCGCCTCCTTTGGGTGAGTCCCAGGTTGAAACTCCAGGCTCCACAGCCCAGGGGCCTTTCCAATTGTGGGGAGCAGGTGCCTCCTCATCCAAAAGGGAGGGTGGTTTAATTACAAAAAATTTAAAAATCCCTTAAAACAATGGGTGTTTTCTTCTCTTGGGGGTCTAGTGCCTGCTTTCTCTGGCTGCTATGGGCTAGAGAATGAGAAGAAAAATCCAAATTAGCCACCCGGATCCAGAGTAAGATCTTGGTCCTAGGCTCTCTTAGGCAGGGGTTGCAGCTCGCTGCACATCTGCATCCCCACAGCTGGCCAGGCTCGGAGACATCACCTCAGGGCTGCTCCTGTTGAAGTGTTGGCTGGTCCAGATGCACATGATGCAGCCTTTCCAAGTGAACTATATGGGCTCTTCAATATTATTAATATGCAGCAATGTTTCCTTAAGTTACTCTGCAGTTCAGCTCTTCCTCAGGTACTTCTTTTGGCTTTAAAATGATTATTAAATGGTAGCTATCCAGTTCCATTCACCCTGGCTCTGACCCCCATCTTGTGACGTAACCAAGGGCTCTAGGGCAGTGGTTCTCAACCTTTTTTGTATAAGGACCCATTTTTTGTCCCAGTGCCCCTCACTCCTGACCCATGGCCCCCAGCCCCCCAGTATGTAGGGCAGGGGGGAGCAAGCATCCCCTTGCAGGCTGGAGCTCTGCCAGCCTGCAAGACTAAAGCCGCTGATTTCCCATATTCTGCTTTAAAGGAGAATCCATTTTTAAAGTTTGTTCACAACCGTTTCATATATTCCTGCGACCCTCTTTTGGGTTGTGACCCACAGGTTGAGAAACGTTGCTCTAGGGTTCAGCACAATGGGATACAGCAGCTGCTTAACGCCACTGCATACCGCACCTCAGGCCTGGAGGTGAAGAACATAGCCAATACAAAGGGCCATTTTTTTCCATAACAATTATTCAGTCATTTTTTTCCCCCCAAAACAGACATTCAGGCACCAATGTGAACATGTCTGTTCCTACAGAAAGTGCTTTGGGAGCCTGCTGTTTTTCCCAGGTAAAAGTGTGTGTTGTTGCTGGGCCACTCCAAAACTAGACACCAGAGCTGGGCAAAGTGCAAGTGCCAAGCAGGCACCATTTGCAAAATCCCTTGATGATTCTGTGGGCTGTTAACAAGTGCGATCTTGCTTACCAGGTTTTGATGCCAGTGTATTTCCTTTGAGGTTAATAAACTTCTGATTTACGGTACTGTGAGTGAGGGATTTTTTTATTTTTTATGCTATGAGCATGCACTGACGGGTATGTAACACATGTAATGTGAAAATGCAGCGGTGTGGCCAAGACATCACTATTCTAGCACAGGTCTCGCATTTAAATACTGGCTTCTGCATCTGTAGAAGAAAATCATTCTGCTGGTGGTGTTGGTTGCACCCTCTTTTTTCACTCCAGTGTTACGTGTGCAAGCAGAGGTAAAGGTAGTAGGAACTGCTCTTTATTACAACTGCAGTGCGAATGTTTCCTTGCCCATATGTCACCCTGTTGTCTTTATTCCTAATATGTAGCTGACACTTGAACTTCCTCACTTTCAGGCTGTTGTTC